AATATAGAAGACCCTAACCCTAAATTAATCGAAAAAATTATTAAATATAAGTTGCCTCCGCTTTAGACGTCCCCTATTTTGGGCAATTACGGACATATCGGAAATATCGGAAATTTAAACGTTAGGCGAAATTAATATCGCCTATATTTCGGATTCGGATCGGGCGAAATATCTGAATTTCGCCCGAAACATTAGATGAATTACATAGTAATCTTGCAAAACCAATTTATAACTTGGTATAAATCATAATTTTTATATGAAGTATTAAAATATGCCCAAGCGTACTATCTGGGGTGACTTAAATACAATGAAATATGACATGATTTATATGTCTAGTGTTTTACAAAAAATTAAGCAGGTAATCTGAGTAGCAATATTTATCCGGGTTACTTGGTTACTCGGGTTATCTGTGAAGCAATCTACCGATCCGTAGGGTTATCCGGTTATATCCGCAAATTAAAAACTAGTAATTATCCAGATTCCAGAATTTATGAAAACAGTCGATCCTAGTCATTTAGTCATTTAGGTTACATCCGGTTCACGTTCAAACACTGTTTTGATTAATAAATAAATAATTATATAATAAATAAATAATACGCATTTTTATATTATTACCTAAGATATAAAAATCTAATAAACAAAATTTATGATTTATTACCTATTGGCAAAATTATTTGATATTAAAGTTTGACAACTAGAGTAATGCAAAACATGTGGCGCCACTGCATTGTTACGCACGTACAAATTCTCACTTAGCTTCTGAATATTGCAATAATTCTTATTATCCATAACCATATTGACATCAGTTATTCATCCTCGCTTCACCTTTTCTATTTGGCCTTCCAACAGAAACATTATAAAGTTTTTTCCTATTTACCCAAATAGTTCAACCCTTCTTCCACGTAAATTATGGGGATTGAATTGGTCTTTCAATTCTTTTGTCTTAACGCAGCACTCCTAACAAAATAGTTACACTATGTATGTATGTTTACAAAAAAAAATTTTTTTGCACTTATGTATGCATGTGAAATATTATTTTTATTTAACGCATCACTTAAATTTTTCTAAAAACGGTCAAACAAGAATTTATTTTTGTGTACACCAAAAGTGCGCGTTTTCTAGAGCAACGTCATCATAAACATTTTGCTAGTTCCTATAACATGGATTTAATTATATACTTGGGTAAATTTACAAAGGTAATACAGTAATGATAAGATAGTTTTATTAAGATGATAATAAAATACAAATAATGCCAAAGATACCGCCACCAAAGAAAACAAAAAAAATGTACAGCTTGTTAGTTAATTATTAAAACTTTTATCTATTCTATTATTTTGATTGGTGTTGTCAAGAGACTAAATCCTCCTTTCACAAAAAAAAATTATATTTTAAGAAAAAAAAAATAATAAATTATTATATTAAATAAAATTACAGGATTAAACATATAATACATAAAGTCATACATGTTTAACTATGATGAATAACAATTGGATTACAAACCATACATCAGAACCTTTCAGTAAATCTGCTTTTTCCATCATAAGATGGAGTCGGTGTCGGTACATCAATCAACATACCAACGGCACCAGTGCCACCATCACTACTATTACTGCTACCATAACCAAGGTCTATAATATCGCTATATGTATCAATATGT